TAAGTGGTCATAACAATACAATATTATGAAAGATTGTTTTTTCTAGATATGTTTACATATCACATTATTGACTTTTGCATGGCAAATAAAAAAGTTACGATTATTGAATCCACAGTGACTGTCTGTCTTATTTTTTTTGAAAAGAATGCAGTGGGGGGAACGTTATGGTCAGATAAATTGAAGCATGTTAAGGGTTAAGTTTGTCAACTCTGTACATCCTTAGTGTGCATTGATTTTGTTCATGCAAGTCATAAACCTGTTTAGAATTTTAAAGTTCATGTGTCTCAAAATAACTATAATATCTACAAGTAGTGCTTGTACTTACATAAATGACATAGTTGTGTCTGGTCAAATTATGTTGTATTTTAATGATATTTCATACAGTAAATTGTTGGTGTACGTGTTTGGAAGATGAGTACATAATATGATTTCTCCCAATCAACTAGGTCCAACCTGTAGAGTCCATCTCTGATTACTTGGAGCTTCTATGTATCATCCAACCACAATATTTGAAGTATGAGTGGGCAATAGACCACCTAACTAAGCAAACTGAAAAGTAAGTGGCATACAAAAATATTGTTCATATTGTTGGTACCCAACATGTAGTTAGACACACATTACATAGTTTGTACATTTTGGAATAACATCTGTTATAAATAAATGCGTCAATTTTTCTGTATGAGAATCAGTGGTATAAACGATCATTTTTGTTTTTCAAGAATGCTAGCAATGGCCAGTGCGAGTGAAAAAGAACTTACGGAAAATAATCCTCCTCTATTTGATGAAATCCGTAATGCATCACCAGACAAGGTAAGTCAGTCAAGTCAGTGTCTATTGATTGTATTATATGATGCAAACTCGGCTTTTGCATATTCTACCGTCTTAATTGGATGAAATAAATCTAATACATCAAGCTGTAATACTGCATGTAATCACTCACAAGCTGTTTTTGTACATTCACGCTATTAGAAGTTTTGCAGTTAACTGAAGATACACTCTGACAGTGTGAGGCTACTACCTGGTACTACACAATTGATTCATCATATCATTACCCAACATTGTCCAGTTCATTCACTAGTTTTTTTGTATTCATTGTTTTGTAGCTGAATGAATTTAGATCGCGTTTGAAATCTTTACACCATGCTTGTAATAAATTTGCCAAACTGAACTGGAGTAAATGGAAAGCTAAGCTGAACTCCAGCCTATTGGTAGAACTGAAAGTAAGTCACCACTTGCATATATGTTTAGTGTTTTTTGTACTCAAAGTTATTATGAATACAACTCATCAATATTTTCCATTTAGTCAAGCTGCCCAGTCAAACATTTTAATAAATCTGATAAGACAACTACTGTGGAATACTTTATTTTCGCTTGGAATTTATTTTCGCTATTTTCGCTGAAGGGATGATTCTGTGAAAATAAAATCCAGCGAATATACTTTTTTTCCTATATTCCACATTAAACTCATGAAAAATCAGTGAAAATAAATTCCAAGCAAAACGCCCCAAAAGCCTTTTCAGCGAAAATTAATTCCAGCGAAAATAAAGTATTCCACAGTATATAAATTCTATTTATTAATTAATAATATATAATTAATATAGTTTTCTTTTGTCTGACAGGATGAACATTCATGGCTGACTGAACAAAATGATAAAATACATGGAGATAATATAAAACTTGTTAAAAGTCTGGAAACTTTAAGCAAAGGTATGAACATTCTATCATTCTACCTCCTCCAAGTCTTATACCTTTCTGTATGCTGTATAGTTTTGAGTTTTGTATTGTTTATAGTATAAACTAAACTGCTCTGCTCTTAAACTGTTAACAATTCTGTTCTCTTTAGTTGACTCGGATTTAGATGCAGCAATCGCTGAACTTGAACTACATGAATTACCAACCGAAGACGAATTACAAAAGTTGAAGACAAGTGAAGAATTGAAAAATGAGTTGAAACTGAAAAACGCACAACTAGAAGCACTGCTACAAAAACAAACAATCTTAGACAAGTAATTTACATTATGTATTAGCGTATATTTATTATTTCACATACTGGCGTGTGAATTTTCTACTCGACATGCATTGTTTTTATCATATGAAAATCCAAACCAAAAAATACCTCTAAACTTTATCTCAATTATCACAAATAAAGTTTGAGAAAATCTAGCTGCAGTGCAATAATTCTTTGTTTTGGAATATGTTCACAGAACAAGAAATGAAGCATTTGCTGAAAAAGAGAGTCTTCAAGCAACAGAAGAGAAGTTAAGAGAACAGCAAGCGGAAAGTGTTGACATTGACAGTGCCAAGAAAGAGGTGCAAGATGCCTTTAACAAGGTTGATCAATTGCAGAGGTATGTCTTCTGTTCTTGTGCAATATTCTAAAGTTGCTGTGAGAATTTTTCAGTGTATGTATTGAAGACTGTAAACCAAGTGTTTTGGTTGATATAGGGTTAATAACCATGTTCTGTTTGAGTGTGTACATTGCTTCCTTCTCACAATAATTGTATATAAACGTGTTAAAACTGAACCCTTTGTAAATCAGAAACCTGTCTGAAGTCTCTCCCCACAGACAAGCCATCTATAAACCCAAGTCTGTAGAAGACAGGTTTCACTCTTGCTTAATTTTAGTCAACATTCCAAAGATGTGCATTCTGAGTCAAATATAGCAGCACTTGATGAAATCAAATCCCATTTTCTTAAAGTAGCAATAGACGAAAAAGTTAAAAATTGATCCGTGATATACTCAAAAAGTTACTGAGTATGCTACTATAACAGCATATCTGAAAGCTTGGTATAGACGAATACAGTAGTACCGGTACATATGACGTACCAATGTTTGTATAAGGATTTTATATGATAGAATGTCTCAATCGTAGACCAATTTTAACACATTGCCTGCTAAAAGCTTCCAAAGATGGCTGATATGAATGCTATATAACAGTTTTATGCGATATGTTAACTTGTTTTTCTCCTGTTGCTACCTTCAGATTGTCTTCTTTTGTTGTCTACCTCTCAAACCTAAATCTAACTTACCAGCCTGTTGCTACAGGCTTGTTTTGTTAGATTTCTTGTATGGTGTCTGTAACTGGCACATACTAATATGACATTAATACTGTACTGTGTTTATTTATGATCTCTAGGTTATTTGAATGGGAGTTGAAAGAGTGGAATCAGTATGAGGCGTTGTATACATTCTTGCTATCTTCAATCAGTATGGAGCTAACATTTGGCAAAACTCTGGGTGAGTGTTCAGGGAAAATTCAATTTTTTTACTGCAGTGTAGCAGTTTTATCAAAATCTGTCAATGTTGTTATTTTTGTATTTTTCCTACAGACAATACTCTAGCTTATGGCAAACCAGAAAAAGAAATTGTGAATATAAAACTGGAATCTTTACTGGCAGGTGAGATTAGTGTACATGTAGTTATGTTTTTAGATTATTATTATTATTATAACCAATATTCCAAATAAGCCAATTCAAGCAGTTCTTCCTGCCATTGCCAAATCAGTGCATACTGGTAAGTTTGCTATGACAACAAGTGGTTGGATTCAATAATTAAACTACTTCTCTTTTTCACCTTGCTTCTATTTATGCTACAATCAGAAGATGCATCTCCATGTGCGCACCTGGCTCATAGAATGGTGCTAGGAGCACTGGACCATGTGTCATTGCAACAGAAATATCCTACAACTAGATGGTTACCAACGGTAAGATTGCATTAAATTCTTTTACTGTATTGAAATAAGCAGTACCGTAATATATAATTATTGTAGAACAATTCTATGAACATTTGGGTATAATCTGTATGCTAATGCACGCTAAACAAGTCATTTTTGGCTAATCTGTTTTATTAAGGGGCTCGTTTAATTTTGTGTTGAACCTAAAGTAAATGTTTTTTCTGATCTCTCTGTAGATTCTGACGCATACATCTTACGTAGTTTGTCAAACCAGACAACTGGTGAGAGAGCTGGACCATCTTATGTTCCGATATGAGGTCGAAATCAAAGACACATGGTAAATTTGCTACATTGTCTGAGTTTTCTTGTACCTGGGTAGTTGAAAGTTGTAATTTGTAGGAAAACAATTAGCGTGAAAAATAAAAGTGTGTGAATATTTTGTTTACCTGGGATATTTCTTTGTTTTATATGCAAACTTGTTGACACTATGTGCATGATTAATGAAGTATTATCTAACAAACATTTGTCTGTTCTCATTGTTTTCTCAAGTTTCTGTATGGGTCTATTTAATACTCTAATACAAATCCGATTTGCTGAAAGTAATTGAATTTAAAAGTTGATGTGTTTTGTTTGCTTTCTCAGTGTTGCAGTGGAATTTTCCGATATTGCTAACTTGGCAAAGTTTGTGGTTCAATTTCACCTGATTCCTGGTGGTTATCCCAATTCCAAAATTCAGCACAGTTTTACAAATGTGATGGGGAATATCAGGTAAAATACATGCAAACTTGCTAAAATATATTACCGTTATGTTATTGTTTGTATATCAAATGAAAAAAACTTATGAACAGCACTATTATATGTGTTCAAAGTTAGACATGCGGATTGGGAATTGGATGCAATACACCACAATATTGCAGTTTTCTTCCAAATTAAATTTCCCATTGTGTATAGCACCCTCAAGTGGCAGTTGCTTTAATTCTTTTGTTTTTCATCAGTGTTTTCACAGTTGAACTTTTACTTTCTTGATTAATTTTGTTCTAATTGTTCTAATTTGCATTATGATAACCTACACATATCAGTGCAACTAGCTAACCAATGATAATTCAGGATACTCGCATTTGGCTTCATTTTTTGCAAGGTAATGAGACTGGGTATCAGTGTGTAGTTTTACACATCTATTGATTACTGTACATGGAAGTGTATGGATAATGCTTTACCATGCTTGGTCAATTAGAAGCGAGCATAAGCCATTGTATGATGGATCAATAAAAAAAGAACTTGTTTTAACTAGAGATTCGCTGCTGTCATTTATGTGAGTACATGCACTACTAATTCAACTCTGAAACACTTCTTTTCTCTATTACAGTAGTGACGTCATCACTTCATCACTGTCCGCTGTAAAACCAGGCTTTAAGTATCTGTGTCGCCAGGTTGAAAGTATTGAACAAATGTTACGTCACTCATCTAGCCAGTGAAACATACTATTTTTGACTCCTGTGTGCTCTAGGACAATAGACAGATCTAATTCATTTTGGGTTAAAATCTGTACGTATTAATTACCTAATTTGCATAATCAACCAGTTTTAAGCTTTCACACTGATATCTGAAGTACTAATTTCAAGGAAACTTGGTACACAGATAGTCTGTTACATTGTGCAGACCGTATTAGTTTTACACCCAAATCTGTTAATATTAATTTCCTGTTTCCAGCTTTTCCATCAATTAATTAATTTGAATTAATTTTTAATGTGTTTCCAATACTCTCAGCACACAGGAGTTCTTTCTAAGCTTTCTTTGATTATTAATTTGTGTTTCTAAACGCACATCCATTATAGTAGAATTTGTAGATATTCTTTTGTGCATCTGGCACTTAATGCCGATTGTATTTTAGCTTGTACAGTAGATTTGTGTTAATGATCATGTTATTATTGTAAAATTTATGAAATTCAGTGTCTCTGTTATTCAGTACTGCTATGCAGTTTTTCACTGTTTTTCAATTTGTTGCTTGTATTTTTTTTAACTGTAAATAAACTAGACAGAGTCTGAAACAAGATGTTCACTTTTTAGCAGATTACATTATTCTCACTTTTTGGTGTTTGTTGTACCAGTATACAATGAATTGTAAACCATTTATACTCGCGATTTCCCAATTTTACTGACTGACTCGCACAAATTTGTCTCTTAGGATGAAAGCATCTAGAGTGTACATTGTTCTTTAACTTGTGCATGTTAATCTCCAGAGTGTGACGTAATACAGGAAAATGAATATCACATATTGCCAACTTTTGTTTTCATTGTACTTGTTACCTGAAGGTTGTCTGGATCTTCCGACTTTATATAAGGTCAAATAACTATGTATTGTGGTGAAAATGATTCATTTTTGAGTGCTTGTGTGTGTGGAAATATTATTCAGTCCCTCCAAATAATCAGTTTAAATTTTTTTAAAAATTGAGTGAATTGGAGTAAAGATCACTAGCAGAATCACCACACAGGGTAGGAAAGTCATTTGCATAAAATAGAACACTATGGTGTCGACAAATTTACCATATTACGGTAGATACATTTGTATTCAGTGTTATTTGACTTTTTCAAACTATGGAATACTGTATGTGATAAATACATAACCCCGTGACATTTTCTTTTTGGTTGACGTAAGCAGACGCCGGTGCTTACTGCATCAAAGTAGCATCAAATCTTGCCTGTGGATCAAAGTTATACTCTGGCATTAATCACTCATCTCTGCTGAAGTCAACCTAAAAGAAAATATTGTGTTATATATAAAAAAAAATATTTTGTATGGTATGCAACATGTATGCCACTGTCAATCTATCGGAAAATAATACATAAATGATAATTTAGATGCTTATAAAAACAAGTACATTTTTCACCATACATGTATGTCATCGACCTAGATTTTAAGATATAGCTGCACTATGGGAAACAATAGTAAAATAGACAAAAGTGCTGTTTTTACTCCATTTAGTACAGTGAACCTCAATTTTTTTTTTTTTTTTAATTTCATCTTGGTAACATTAATGTCACGTATGTAAATAAAAAAACTATTAGGTATACTATTAGGTAGCATTCTACCATAATTTTCTGCTAAAAGTAAAAACAAAGTGTACCAGTACATTTGTGTGTTGCATCCTTTCAAGACTGTTCATATCAACTGTATCTGTTCTTCTACCAGTTATTACTATACAAGATTGATATTAATATAATATTACTATATAATATAGATATTACTATACTGCCAACAGTTTACACATGAATACACCTTATGGCATTGTGCTTCTAATAAAGTAAATATGGTAGGTTTTGTAGCAGAGATTATCTGTAGACTTTCCATGGAAACTTTCAGCAGGCAATGTTAAATGCATCAATAAGTCAAGTTTACATTGTTTATCGCATGTAAGGCGCCCTCTATCTCAACTTGTGGCCATTGTCGCGTCCACAACCATGGATGGCTATTTTGTAATCGGGCTTATTAACAATGACACCAAGCATCACATGGGGTAGTTATTTATGAAGATAATTAAATTTTGTGATATTGAAATCATTTTGCAAGAGTATTGTGCAGGGAATTTTTGTCCCTTTCACCTTTCGGGGTTCAAGAAATCCCTCAAAATCTGCAACAATATAATGTAGATTTTTATCCTCTAAATGTATTCTACCCTTTCATGATTCATCCACTGTTTTGCATCAGTTCTATTTCTAGTAAAAAAAAAAGTCGGTCTTGTCTGAAAAATAAAATATTTTAAATTAGGATAGTTCATTACCATTCAAACATGAAAACAAATTAATTACAGTAAGTCTTTAAAGCATTGTTGTCTGATGATACATGCACATGCACGTCATTCGTATTTAACATTTTTACGAAGAAAGGAAGATGTGTTTCCAAGAAAACATGTGCAAAATAATCTAAAAAGCGGCCATTTTTCGACATGTTCCATAGGATTCCATGTGAATTATTCCATGGATAATTTGTAGTAATATTCAAAATTCGTATGTAGCCCTCATAACACTACATATCATGTTTTTTTTAGAATAGGTCACCAAACAAAATTTTGAGATATGGAATGTTTCTGCCATGGGAACAAATTGTAAACTATTCAAAAAACATATTATTAATCAATTTTTGAGGTCGATTTGTGGAAAACTTAGTTCAGTTCATATGCTTTAATTTCAGATTTTTGAACAGTACAGTAACCCAACCCCTCATGCTGGATTTTGAGAAGCATGTTTTTTATTTTTTACTAGAAAAACTGTGTACGTGTGCTATGTTTCTGCTCTAATAAAAGACCATATGTTTAGCCTGGTAAAAACAATAAAAATCTATTTTTTTGACGATCTTCAATGCATACCAGCACAACTGCCATTGCATCTGTACTGGGCAAAATGGGTCATTTTGAAAGTTGCTAATATTACGCTAACTGGAGAAAGTACGGATTTCACACAGTTGCATTAGATTAACTTTTGACCGCATATTTGAAAACATTTACATTTAGCATACTATAATTTTAAATCACCTTGTCTAATTTATGATCAGCAGATGACCTTGTAGAGTGAAACCATTGATTTATCTTATAAGCAACATGGTATGTCGTTGTGAGGGTATTTTAATTGGTATATTAGAATCAAGATATATGCAGCTAATTCATGACATGTATATCGTGACAACTATTTTTAAACTGACAGATTTATTATTCGGTGAGTAAATCATAATAATAAAGAGTGAAGCAAATGTGTTTGTGATAATATTTATTGAAACTGTATCCATATGTGGAGCCTAAAGGAGAAAAATAACTTTCGGAGTAAATATGAAATAAATTAATGCAGATGTTATTACATCTAACATGCAAGAGCTTAAAATGCAACTTGAGCAATACTCCTGTAATCTGCCAGCAAATTTATAATTTTGTAGGAGAACCAGAACACGCATTCTATTCATGAAGGCCAACTTTCTCCCTAGAGCCTTGAAGTAGACCACCACTTTGGAAATGGAGACAAAAGGCTTAATAAATATTGTTATGCAAATACATGAGTAGCTTTCATGACTGTTTTGAATGTTGGTGAAGTGACTGGGGACTACATGCATGTATAGTTGTGTCAACTTTGAGTGGCCATGTGTATACAAACATGGTACACTTTGACCTTGGTCAAGGGTCATTTCAAACTTGTGTTCACACTACTAAAAACTACAGGTTTTACCATGCCAGCGTAAACTGTGACCAGTAACTAAAATAAGGATCACACCAGTGTTTCTTTTTTTACAAGGGGCGTAATATGCCAGCTTTGGGTATGAGCACAGTACTGCTGATCCGCAGATAGGCATATCTATTCATACCTAATATTTATGTCTTTATTTTTTTTCATTTATTTATGTGCTTGACGCAATCAGGCTTCAGTAGTTGATTAATATACCGTACACACATAAACGTGTTTGAGCCAAGTAGCACATCTTGAGTTTATCAATGTATATAACAGCCTAAACTTCAACACATATTGTTGGTACCTTCATTGAATTTACTCATAAAATTTGCAGAGTCAAGGCATTTCAGTTCTGTCTTAACATCAGTATAGGTGTCGCTACCTTTTTCCCCAAGGTGGCTTTCTAGTAAATTACTCCAATCTTAAGCCCCTTTACATCAGCATAACATCTTTACATCCATTTTTCTCCCATGCTGGCATAAAGAGAAAAACATGTGAACAAGTATTTGTGTAAATGATCAAAATACATGTGCAAGCCATTGTTATGATACAGTAACTGTGCTTTTTGGTTTAGGTGAGCTTCTATTAGGGATATGCTTCTAATAGAACAAATATGGTACATGTATTAGATGTATTAAACAATGCACAAAATAGGTTTTAGTATTTATTTAAAAACTGAAATACAGTTCACTCGTGTAAATTGTGTAGCAAAGCTAACACTGCAAATGGTAGTTGTGTGCTACTTGTAAATGTAAACAAGTTGTAATTTGACTTACTCTACAGGTATGTACATTGCAAAAACTGTCGAAGGGGCTGTCGAATATTTACTAATCATATTATTTTTACTTTCTTATTTTATACTTCATTAAACCAATTGCTCTCTTGACAAATGTCTTATTTTTGTTCGCTATGACTAAATTATAATCACACAGAAAACTACATTTCACAGTTCTTGGGGTAAAAAAAAAAAGATGTGCAAAATCAAACATCAGATCCTAAAATGCAATCAATCACTTTTTAGACTCCAGCATATCGTCCTTTCTGAACATGAGTGCACTGTGGTATTTTGATTGCGGAGTGTGGAACTGTGGTCGTAGCTGCTCGTATCGGTTGCAGTAAGGTCTTTTGGCATCTACTCGTGCTCTGGGCTCCACTTCATTCATTCGTTCCCTCTTCTCAAGAAATAGGCTCTCGTCATGCGGCCCCGTTGGTATGATACCACTCATTTCACAATTCTGCAAGTCAGAAGCAATAACTCATTACTTTGGGCATATTTTCAGATTTGAATGTGAAGAAATGTGATATACCGTATTTGCTCTATTAGAAGTGTGCATAAGCCAAAAAATGCATTTTTTGGATGCTTCAAATCCAACTTACATTGATAATTGACACTGATTTATGCAAGTGCATGTACTACTAACAGAGCAAATACAATAAAATCTCATTTTTTACGAATGATACTAGTATTTCAATGAGTTGAAATTTTAAGATATCCAGAGTAAAACTGCGTAGTATACATGTATTGTAATAACCTCTTTATAATTTGTGTTTTCACAATTTTGTTTGTGCAGTGGAATCAAATATCTGAATGAAAATCTAGCAAATCAAATAATTAGGTTTTATGGAAACAAATGAAAAAGTTATCTCGTAAGTCATGTCACAATGAAACAAAAATACCCTGACAAAAGAACCTAACACTAAGTGTTCCATGGTTTGGAAGTATGGTATGCTTACATGAAAGTGTGTACTGGAGTCAATATTTTAGTCACTATTTCATAAAAAAAATGCAAGCAACAAAATTGAAATCTTTACTATACCTTTATAATAAGGTTCCTATTTCTCATGTCATTTTTCCATTCTGGCACATAACGTATTGGTATTACCGGGTGATACTTAGAAAATCTTGGAACACTGAAAAATATCAATTTATAACAGATCTTCAAATTTGTGTAGACCATATTGGTGATGTTATTTTGAAAACTTTTTATTTTTTTATAATACTGTTAATTTTTCTCTTATTGTGATTTGTATTCATGTTTTGTACAGCAGTGTGTGACACAGTGAACATCGCTTAAATTTTTTTATTACTATTATTAATATTTCCCACCTGAATGTCTTGGTGACCTACAAAGTATATTTCCTTCACAGTTCACAATCAATCAAATGCATTTTTAGAAATGTGGGCTCTAGAATTATCAAGCAAGTTCAACAGCAAGCATATCATCTATATTTTTTTGTTTACTGGAATAAAAGAAATTATGCCCCCTTCCCTAATATTGAAAGTAGACTAAGTCAATTACCATGTAGTATTTTGGATATCAGAGTTTATCAATAGTAAAGTGCAAAACAGATGTAGCAAGACAAGCAGGTTACATAATGATAATACAAAACACATGTACCATCATACAACCCACCCCACCCGACACACAAGCCTGTTCATATGATGCATGAATGGGCTCGACCATTTAAAACATGTACGTCTATTGAGGCAAGGTGAACAATCAATAATTTGGAATAATTAATTTTGTGTATTTGTATTTATGTTCTTTACCATACAAAAACCCTCTGAAGGTTTTTAGTAGTGTATTAAAGTTATTACTGTAAAATACTTTATTATAGCTGGAATTAATTTTCGCTGAAAAGATTTTTTGGGTGTTTTCTATGGAATTTATTTTCACTTTTTTCTGACAAGTTAAATGTGAAATATAGGAAAAAATATATATTGTCTGGATTTTATTTTCACTGAATCATTGCTTCAGTGAAAATAGCGAAAATTAATTAAATAAGGTATTTCACAGTATTTTTATCATTATTAATCTACCGTACCTAAATGTTTACAGTGGACTAAAATACTATGTAACTTTATGAAAGAAAAACAATGTCTTAGTGGCAGATATTAGAACTTCTGAATGATGTTTTCAGGTTTTTTAGCAAAATAAATAGGTCTATGAGTTAATATTTCAGTCCGCAGTTTAAACTTTTAAATAAAGACAGATTAATCCGATAGTTCGCGTTACTCCCATTGTCATTTATGTACTACGTGCTTAAAATAATCCCTTCTGTGGTACAATTATTGCATTATCGTATCTCATGACATGCAGAAATATACGCAGGTTCTTCTGAGGCATATACAGTTATACAATGTCTTTGATTCAAGTGCCTGTATGTGAATTTCGAGTGAGTTTGCGTGTTATTATTATATTACTCGTGAACACAAACAAAAGAAAGGAGTCGCTGTTTTTGCCTGGTATCTGCAAAGTTATTTAGATTTCACTTCAAAAAAATAACATTCATTGTCGACAGTGTGAAGTTCTAGATATATAATGTGTGTGATCGTGGAGAATTTGACAAATGTTTTACCTGATGTAGGAGCCACCCGTTGCTAAGCGGTCAGCCATGTTCGATGCTTTGAGTGTTGTTGCCGAGATGCAGTCAAAGGGTACATGTTATGATCGACGGTGGCGCTCTTTATGATCCCGGACGTTATTGTTGCATTATGTAGCTTAGAGCAGACGTTATATATAACCGTTATTTAAGCCGTACTTGAAATATCTCTGTACATTGATAGGTAAGAGCCATATTGAACTCATTTATTTGATGATATCGTGGTAATGAATGGTCGTTCACGTTAAAATCGTGGCTCCATGCGCCGCCATTATTGTGGACCCTAACCCTAGCCATGACCTAACAAGCTCACGTGTTGGTAGATTCACACTAGTAATAACTAGTTATTTTCACATTCTCCCTAGTACAGGGGTAGATATGATGTTGTTTTTATTTGTGAACAAACATAGAAAAGTCCCACATCACATAACGATGAATTAATAGTAAAGGCGTTTTACAGCAATTAAGTCTCAGAAGTATTGGGGCAGCCAATTTGCAAACTCGCTAGCGAATTGGCTAACTGCTTGGGTTTTGACTAAACGGTTGGCTTTCGAATCTCGCTGGCGCCGGTTTGTGATCGCGTCCACTCTTGGCGAGTCTATATTGCATTAGGGGACATGCAATGTTTTTACGCATTCTCAGGCTGGTACATGTCTGGATTCCCCTGAATGATTTGAGCCCGAAAAAGGCCACAGTCAGCTGGCGTGATAATATTATAAATGCGAATAATCTACCGATATTTATTATATGAGTTTAACCTTCTTGAACACTGCTTGACACTAAATAGACAAGTTGAGAAACAGTTTCCTACAAATCAGGGAGAAAATAACAAACTTTCACACTCAAACGATCCGTTGAGGTAACATTAAGCCAACCGCTGAATAATCGATCTCATTCGTCGTATTTGTGTGGACACGAAGGAGCATAGAACACTTTCCCTGGTATATTTGAAAGCGAAATCGCCATCCAACTGTAAGACCGTTGCCGAATAGCTCCTAAAGTATGAGGATCGTCCCCTACTGTTATATAGATTTGTCTTAAGTGGGCGTGACCACAAGACGGCGCCAGTGAGATTCGAAAGCCAATCGTTTAGTCAAAACCAAAGCAGTTAGCCAATTCGCTAGCGAGTTTGCAAATTGGCTGCCCCAATACTTCTGAGACTTGCTGTAATTGGCCGATCTGAAGTACACAGACCACCGCACAAAAGTCAAGTTTAAAAGTAGCCCTGCGTACATGACTGTTTTAGGCGTGGTGTTCATAGACACATATACACAGAGCTAGCTTAGATATAAACTAGTAGACAAGTGTGCTATCACTAAATTATGGTTTTCAATTACATGTGCAATCCATTATTCATTTGAATATAGTTGGTGCTCGTTTGTTTGAAAGGCTATGGTCGCCGCGCTGCTCGTCGACAACAACCCTTCAAGAATGAGTGAAAAATTTGCATAACGTTGCTCAAAAATCTATTTACTGTGAATGAATTAAAAAAAATTGCACATGTAAAAAAAAAAGAAAGTTATTTTTGAAAATGAACCACAAAAACAACCTATTAAAGGTGAAGGGCTGTAAATCATCAACGATAACAATGCACACTAAAAGGGATTCATGGTAGCCATTTGAAAAAAATATAAATAGGATTGCCTTTAAAGCTTTCACCCAACCGAAGACTAGACAACTACTTCTGTCAATGTTTTTGTGAAAGTCTAATAACTCGTATTGTTAACATTTACTTTATTAATTTGCATTTCTAACCCACTTTTGGGCAAAATTGTTGTTTTAGTTTTGTTTAGTTTAGTTTTTTCTTCTTTTTTTTTTTTATTCTGAATGTTTCTGACATGGAATGACAACCTTGCTTTATCGTACTTAGATCTATGTCCATTTTTAGGATACGACTTCAATAAAGACTATTATTATTACATGAAATACGTAAAATACAAATACTGTAAAATTCTTTATTTTAGCTCATTTCATCAAATAGTGCGAGATAGTATGAGATGTACACAGGAAGTAGTTTATTCTCCATATTTCTGTAATTATGAACCAAACAAGAATAGAAATAGCTAAAATTTATGCTCTATAAAAATATCAGCTTCCTACTAAATATTCAATGACTTCAATCGCTTAGTCGCAAGAGCTTATCAACTTTCAAACAGATTGTCTACACAAACTACGAAGCATCCACACAAAGAATCACTGTCACCAACACTGCCATTTGACTTTTATAGAAAAATGTTCACATATTCTGGGAAAATTCAAAATAATGAGAAATACAACTATGAAGTTGCTTCTTGTATATTCATATATATTATAGTGAAAGTGCCGTAATTCACCCAAAAAGTGGCCAATTTGAACAGAAACAATGTGCCTTTGGCACTAAAATGAAATTATGAAAGCACACGTAGCAGGTAAATGGACTGCGTTGGCGAATCTTCCGGTTAACATGTGTCAATAAACTATCAGCAACGTCTGCCGAGGCACACATCCTACGAGCGTAATCCCCACTTCACACCTACAACAATAGGCATTGCTAGTCTGTCTATAGTTGTCTTAGAATTTAGCTGGAATTAATTTTTGATGAAAAGACTTTTTTTGCTGTTTTGTATGTATGTATGTACTAGTATTTATGATGAGTTGTATGTGAAATCACAGTCCGTGGTGAAATATAGCAAAATATGTTTCTACTAATATACCCCTTCAGTAAGAATATTGAAAATATATTCTAAGAGAAAATAACACTTTACACATCCACAGTCTCTTGTATTGTAAAATATACATTATATATCCACTATTTTTACTCATTTACAAAAAATGGTTGTTTTAACACCATAACTATATAATACATGTATTATGATATTTCTTCAATGTACATTTCGACATTCGTGACCTTTAATTTTACTACATGTATAACATTTCACATGTTGATTATGTTTCGTAGACATCCAACGTTTATGCTACAAGTTAATGGGGGAAATATCAAATTGACAAAATTAATCGATTCAGATGTTGATCTGCATATTTTGCTACTCCGTTGCATGAATCCATTTTTCTACAAAATACCATATTTGTTTCTAGTGCATATAACCAAAAATTGCATTTGCTCTATACTGAATATTAAAATATTACTTATTTTGACCATAGAAACACTTCTGAATTTTATGTTTATGTATCCTTCCGCTGCTAAGGATAAAGTAGTTCCAGACACATTGGCTAATACAATGTTTTTCTTTTTCAAACTTGTTCAGCTACTTTGCAAATGGGAAGAAATGAAAAGTTATGAATTTGTCAGGTTTTTGTAGGAAATTGAATCTTGCTAGTGTAACATCCGTTTATACAAAGTCCCTCTATCTCCCGGTCTGGAAACGGTCATTGTATTAGGTGTGAATTGGCCTTCTTCCCTGGCAAAGGCGCGTTGCGAGTATGGGCAAAGCATTGTCACGTGATCAGTACACAACTGGTCACTATTTTTGACATCGTCAATGCTATGTGTTTTTTTTTAACAACTTAGTTGTTTATTCCAGATTTAAAGCTCTTTCACATAGTTTTTTAATCAGGATAAATGTATAAGGTCATATTTTAGCCGGCGAAATTTTTCGTGTTTGATTTAGGGGTGATTGAAATGAACTCCATTTTATTTACCCTACTTTTTGGTGCGAAACCAATATTTGTCTTCGATTTTGACATGTTATGGTCGAAACATATTAAAAATTGGTGGGCTGATTTGTTATTTGTCACATCGCATTTTATTAATGTTAAATTGGGCGAATTTTATGGATGCTTTTTCGATCGTAAATGACAATGTAGGCTATTCTGTGCCAAAAATCATTTATATACAAAAATTGAAGCATTGTTTTATACTTTTCATTGAGTAAAGTCATTAGTTGTTGTATATTTGACTTGAACTGTTATGAACCCCAAGAATCAGAAATATCGCAGGTTTTTCGATCGACCACGTTAACATGAACGACGCCATTTTGACAAGATTTGTTTAGCGATGTCAGCATGTTGGTACACTAAGTTTTTTCCTTGTTAGAACTAGAAGATGAACATAATTCCCGATATTAATCTTTACATAGCAGGAACTGGATGTTTATGAGTTGGTAGGTTGGTTTTGATACGTATCTAGGTTAAAAAAACTCAAATTTCATAGTGCTAATTTTGTTTACATGTTTTGTTTACATTGTGGTTGACGAATTTGAAGTCAAAGAAGACATACAATGAGGTATTTGCGGATTTTAATGAATATTCTGTCGGTATTGTAATCTGTCTGACTTCCTGAATCTCTCGGCCGGGTGTGAACGGTTTGTTTATCCGCAACGCAGTTCAACACAAAAGAACGCTAGTTGTTTCCAGACTGTGGATAGAGGGGGATTGCGGTTATTAACATGTTAGCATAACATGTTTTCCCGTTGTTTACATTTCTTGGAATGATGGCCAATATTGCAATGAATTTCTCAATTAAATTCATCGTTAATGGTGGGTATATTGAATAGCGGAAACCCAGTATGTGATATATTCCCAGTTTACAGTGCATTTAACAATTCAATAGAAATACTGATTGCCCACTGATTTGTTATAGGTAATAGTAGCTAGCTGGGACAATGCAGTCAGCAAGGTCTTTGTTTTCACTGTCATCCTGGTTGGTTGGTAAAACAGGTATTTATAATGATTTCACTATGTATTTTTTTGTTTGAATTATTGAACAAGGCTAATCATTCTGCACTTGTGATGTGATAAAGTGTGTGATGAATTGCCGCATTGTCTTCTGCCACTGTTTACTATGGCGTGCCGCCATCTGTAGCTTTTACATGTTATTTTACAGTGAT